AAAACTTACTGGATCGATTATGACATAAATGAGACACAAAACAACAAAAACGTGACACAAAACAAGACAAACAGACGACCACAAGGAGACAAAAAAGACATAAAGGGACAAAACCAAGATGGAAAACGACAAAAACGTGACACAAACTAGACAGAAAACAAGAAAAATGGGACACAAAATGACGAAATCGAGACACAAAACGATCATGAAGAGACAAAGCAACCACAAAAAAAATCAAAAATACCACAAAAACACACAATAAATGGATCAAAAACTGAACAGAGGAGCCAGTTGTTGGAGATACATCCAGCATGGTGAAACATCTACAGCTGGTGAGCAGAGCGGAGACGAAAAACTGCTAAATATCAGCTGATTTCTTAAAACTTAATCGGAAAGTTTGCGAAAACTCAGCAGAATAATAAATAACAAACCTGTGCTGCTAATTGAAAACTGCAGCAGTGAAGATTTAAAACAGATATTTTCTTTTATGAAGCAGAATAACGCAGATCATTTTACGTCTCTCAGTGACATAACGCTGCAGAAGCCCTCCGACCTCTTGTTCCCAGCTCATGTTTTCCTGCAAATACGAGAAAGAAAAAGAGAAGAAAAAAAAAAAGGCGGCCTCCTGAGCATCACATCCCAAAGGTCCAGGACCCACCTGAAGTCGCTGTCGGTAGCGCTCGGCGTCACCGCTGCCTCCCAGCTGTTTCCCTCTGCTGGCCTTTCTCCGTTCACTCCTCGGAGCCCCGCTGACTTTGATGCCGGCTCGGATCCTTCAGACGTTCGCCCTGCAAAAGGACAAATCGTTACGCAACAGAGCAGAACGGAAAACCGCCTCCTGACCCGCCGACGTCTTACGAAAGACGGAAAGCATCTGAGATTTAGTGCGTTACGGCTACGAGTTGTCAAAGAGCATCGGATGACAGAAAAAAAAAAGTAATGAGTCCAATCATCAGGACTGAAGAGCATTTTAAATCAGAAGCGAATTAAGCTTGTCGTGCCCCGATGTCATCGTGAATTATGCTAATGTATTGTATCCGAGTGCTAAAAAGCTAACTCACTTTCTGTCTCGCTTCCTGCAGAGTCCCCACATGGAGCTGAGCAAGTACCAGACTCTGCCCATGAAGCTGAGCAAAAAGAGCGATCTGAGGGCAGAGCTCAACGGAGACGGAGAGTATTTATCCCCCGTCCAGCTCTCTCCGGTCCGAAGCCA